GTCAGAAACAAAAGAGAAATCATCAAAATGGTCCTTTTCAATTGAGAAAGGATGTAGACAAATGGAATACTTCTTCTAAATAGTTAAGCTGGTAATGAATGAATGACAGAATGAATGAAATTTAATCAGCCTGCAGTATGATGGACAAACTCAGAAGGTGAGGCATTGCAGGGGACTCCTCTTCCACATGCTGTCTCCTCTCTTTGGCAAACCAAATGGAAAGTGGAGCTCATTGGCCCTTCGCTCTGTTGTTAATTAAAACATTTGCCTTCTGCTTTTAGCTTTTGCCACTCACTGTAGTTACTAATACCTGAATAGGAATAGGCTATAGTGCAGGTATTCTGTAGACTATGTGATAATGCTGGTGTAAGTTGGATTGTTTTGTAGCCATTTAGGAAATGTAATGAGAGCTAAAGGAGTTTAGTCAATGTAGAACATGAATCAGGGATTAAAAAATAATAATAAAAAAAAAAGGATGGTACTCTTCCAAGTTCTCTTCACAGATCAAGTTTATGTTATCAGTATGAGAAGTCACCCAGTATTTCTGCGGACCTTTACAGCAGAGGTATTCTTCTTTTTTGTACATTTTGATTAGCAAGTGAAACAGTTTACAGTATTGACATTTTAATTTGTATAAATAAGTTAACTGAGAAGTAATTTTACAGGCCAAAGAAAAGGAAAGAAAAGAAGAGAAAAGGTAGGAGGAAAGGTAAGGAAAGGAAACAAGTTCCCTTTTCTTCCATATCAATTTCTCAGTCCATCAGATAGCATCAGGATTTGGATGCACATCTTCAGATGAGAGTCAAGTCAGCATGATCACTGTTCATGCAATATGCAGTGACATTTTGAGTACAAATACCAAGATTATTATCTTTTAATATTAAACATTATATGAGTGTTTAAAGTGGCTGTGAAGCATATTAATATTAAATATTATTGCTGACATTTGGGAAAGGTCAAATATGATGCCCTCATGCAAAACATATTAGTAGCAAGACACAAATTATTGCAATTATTAAAAATATTAATTTAATTCAGAAAGTCAGATTTTGGGTATACGAAGCTGAATATTTTTATCTCTTTAAAGGTTCACACAATTTCTACATTTAACTTTTGGCCAAAATTGTATTCACTTGAAAATGCTAATTTAATGTCAACATCAACCTTTCCTGTGACTTCCATGGAGCATGTTTATTTTTTTCCTAGCAAACTGCATATTTAAAAAATAAAGCCAAACAGCTGAGCATGTCATTATTTCTCTTACACAGCAGATATAATTACTCTGCTCCCTATGCATATAACAAAGGTGACTAGGTGAAGCTGAGAGGGATGTTTGTTTACCACTCTCTACAGCAGAAAGAGTTCACATTCTATAACTAATCTAATTCTTTGCCTGAATAGAGGGCTGGATCCTGTGTAGTCATCATCCTTTGTCCCCAGAGAATCAAGCCCTTGTCTGTTGTTTGAAACTTGTTTTGCTTACAAACTTTATTAGCAGTAAACTCATTTTAAATTAAGGTAATAAGAGTACTGGGGAGGAAACTTCAGATACATTAGCTGCAGCTGTCTTCCTACTTTCTCCTCTTTAGCATCCTTGCTTTGTCAGTATGAATTTATCTTCATTTTCCCACCCATCCTCTTGTTATCAGTAATTGTTTATTTTCTAGTGCATAGAACCTACTCCTACATAGCTTTATATTGCAAATACTTTCAATGTTTGTTCTAAGACTTTTAGATGGCTTAAAGGTCTATGTGGAAAGCAGTGTAAATTGCATGTGATAAAGGCCTTAAAGACAACTTGCATACCAAGGGGCTAAGGCAAGCTTTATCCCTGATTAAGAGCATATATGTCAGTGAGATTTCTCATTATTTTGAAGCAGTATAAGCATGTTCAGAACTCAGATTCCAAGGACCATAAAGCATAATAAGAGATATGCTAATTTAGGGAGTGACCTACTACTACGTCTTAAAAATATTATTAGCTGCTATTCCTGTTAAACATCATTTTCTTATCCCTTTAGTAGGCAGCAGGAAGCTTAATAAGCAGTTTAATCTATTGGGCAAAGTTCAGATTTGCTTTCAATGAGCATGACTGTATCTAATGGGGTCCCTTAGGGATCAATTCTTGAGCCAACACTAATATATTTTTTTTCCATCAGTTACCAGGATATAATTATTTGCTGGTAACATTTGCTTTTTGCACAAAGACTGATGGGGTAGAAAATAACACAGATGATAAGTTACTGTTACAGTGATCTCAAAGACTAGGTTAAATGGCAATAATATTATAAAACTTATTTTAATACACTCAAATGCACACTATAACCAAGTATGTAAGTCATTTCTGTAGGGCTGGACACACTTGGAAAGCAGTGACCCAGAAAACGACTTAAGGGTCCTTGTAGATAATCACTACAACTTGACCTTTCAGTAAAATACTTAATGGTCTATGATAACCCCTCAAGGAACAGCTTCTTGAATGAACTTTAAATTATTGCATGCTTAGTACTAATGTGACTAAAGGTATTTACCTCCTGGGGTGTATTCCTGAATTCTTAATTCTGCATTTTCCTGAACCACAGCTGATAACTTCCATGGAGTTTCAGGACAATATCTGGTGACCTGCAGGACAACATTTTCAACTTTCTCATTACTTGGCCTATGTACTGACAGATTGAGTCAATAGTTATTTCCCATATCTTGAAGGCACATACAGCCTTTGGTAAATTGACCAAGAAGGTCTGTAGGTAACAAGCAATCAAGGCTTCTGTGAAGGTCAGTGTTTATAAAGCTGCAGTGCTTACTATCTTACTTTATGGCTGTAAAACCCGAACTACACATCACTTCTTTTTAACGTGAGGTATTGCCTATTCCATTTCATAGTCATTGACTTAAATGGAAGGAGAACAATACAATGAGGGAGATCTGCCCTATAAGAAACAAAGCTCCAGGCTACAATTAAGGCTTGCTTGTTTCCATGCAGCACTTCTTCTTGCTCCATATAACTCCCTCTCTCAGTTGCCCAGGGGGCCAACCTGAAGAGAAGCACCAGAATTAGCCTGTTCTGTGGCATGGTTCAATCACTGTGTTAGGTAATCAGACAGTTAGGCTAGGGACAGACATTCAAAAATTGCTCCAAAAATTGCTGTGCAGTGCAGCATGAGCCGCAGCTGGAGGCAAGGAGATAAAAACAGCCCTGCCGGACCAAGTCAGTTTCCCCTCACCTGCTTCCCCTGGAGGTGGTAGGGGGTGAGGGGGAGCTTCAGCCCAGCAGCTTTTGCCCTGCATGTGGAGTTCTGGCTGCAGCCTCCAGACTGAAACCTTTTACCTGGGCTCCTTCTACCTTCCAAGGCATCCAGGATCTGGAGCCAGAGCTCCACACGCTGAGCAGAAGCTTTCCAGCCCTCCCACCTAGAGCCATGCAGTGTGGTAGAGCCATAGCATTGGTAGCTGGAAGCAAAGGGGGCAGAACAGACCCCCACTCTGGCCAGCCCACAGCTGCTTGTGCAGCTGCAGCCCTGGGTGCTACACAGGACAGGGGGACTGGAAGTGGTGGCTGCTAGGCTTGGGGCCTGCTTCCTGGCCAGCCCCCACCTGGCACGGCCAGAGGCCAGCTGACGGCCCCTTGATGGGGGCAGGGACAAGGCTAATTCCCCCTCCCTCTGGCATCTAGCGGAGGGGACAGGAGGGACTGCTCAGAGGTGGCAGTGGTCAGGGTGAGCAGATGTAGCTGCAGTCCCCAGGGGCAGTGGGGGTAGAGGGAGGAATAACCCTGCTCCCTGCCCCCTGTGCCTCAGTGGCCATGGCAGCCCACTGCTGCAGCAGTGAGGGGGACCCAGCAGACCCAGCTTAGGTCCCTGCCGGTGGGACAGGGAGAGGGGAATTAAGCTCCTCTCTGGCTAGACTCCTGTTCCTGCCTGTCCCTGCTCTGGCTGAAGATCAGAGGGATGGGGCCAGCCCTGCTGAGTCCAGCCCAGAGAGCATGCTGAGATTCTGGGGGAGACTCGAGTTTAAGTTAAACCAGGAAGGGGTCTGGGACAGACACTACATAAACTGGATTGATCCAAATCCGTTAAGTCTGATGCTACATTCACCCGGGTTTATCTCAAACCAGTTTGGGCCATTTTGAAACTGGTTTGTGTGCACTGAATGTCTATTCTGTTATAGGCTTAAAGCAGTTTCTGATCACTTAAATCAGTTTGTGTAATGTCTGTCCCTAGTCTTGTAGACTCAGAGCTTTGCTGAATGAAGAGGAGATTACTGTCGGCTAGTGCTATAACCACTCAGCTACTGGGACTAAAGCATCAGAAGGTCCTTCTCCACTTAGGACCTGTTAGTCATAGGTTTCTGGCTTCCTACATTTTTGTGTCTTACACACTAGTACATATTGATGATAGGAATGTAGCTGCATACCTTCCCAAACAGTGCACAGCTGACTGCATGTGTGACCACATGGCTAAATAAACAGAATTGCTATCTGAGCACAAGTGACATTTTTTGGCTATGGTAATCTGCTGGTCAGAGGCACAGAGGGAAACAGAATTCCACCCAAAGTGTCTGATTCCATTCTACCTCTTATGTGTGTAAGTGTAATAATAGAAGCATTGCTTGCAAGTCAAAGTAAGTGATTTTGGTTAAGCATTAGAATAGTCTACTCAGGGAAGTTGTGGAATCTCTATCCTTGTAAGTTTTTAAAAGCAGGTTTGACAAACAGTTGTCTAGGATGGTTTTCACAGGGATCAGCTAGTCTTAGGCAAAAGGCTGAATTAGATGATTTCCAAAAGTTCCTTCCAGTCCTACTTTTCTTTGGCCCTATGGATTTGTAGCCAGAAATCTCTGATTGTTTATTAATACCAACTCTCCAGGCAAAATCTAAAGAGTTACCTTTGCTGAATATCACAATTCTTCAGAGGAAGATGGTTATTTCCCAGATGCCAGTAGTATCCATGAGGAGAAAAAAAAATCTTTCCTGACCCCTACGGAGAAGCAACAAAAGCAAAAATATGGGAATTACAAATACGTGATTATATATATATATCTTGCATATTAGTTTCTGATGGTGTCAATAAGCAGATGGATCAGGGTGATCCAGTTAATATAGTATATCTGGACTTCCAAATATCCTTTGACAAGGTGTAAGAGGGATCTTAGAGCTCCTGTTACTTTAAGGGAAGAAACTGCAGCATCTACAACTCAGAAAGCTGAATAGGGCCAGCTGTAAGAGGGAAGGCAGCAAAGAGATGCTGCTGCCTCAGCTGTAAGTGGCCCATCAAGGTAAAGGGCACACCTGCAGCCAGTTTGGGGAAGTTACCTGGCTGGAAGGGAACAGGGCTTAGAGAATTTGTAAGCCCAGGTCTGAGCACAGGCAGCAGTTTGGTCTGGAGGCTGCTAAGGAAAGGGAGGACTACCCTGGGAGTAACGCAGGTAGACTTCTTCTGACTTGTAAGGAATACAGCACAGGGTAAGGGGAAGCCTGGTGGTACAGCCAGCAGCTGGGGTTATGTTTGAACCCTGTGAGGGGCTATTTTGTGTTATTGGAGTGGAGAAGGTCCTAAAGTGCCCAAAGGGTACATAGCTGTTTGAGCCCTACCAGGTGCTGATCTTGAGGTGCTAACAGGTAGCAGCTGTGAAAAAGTTGAAATCTAAGCCAGAAGGCCTAGATCCCAGAACAGGGCAGAGATGAGGCCAAAGTAGGCTAGGAACCTGGGATCAGGGTTAAGACTGGAGTCTAGAAGCTGGGCCCAATATAGGGGATCTGGGCTAAGAGGCCCAGCAAGATGAAAGGGTTGAAGATCAAGGTCCCATCAAAAGGGAAGTGATTGAATGACAACACTTGTGAGGCACAGACCTGGCTAGAGGGGATGTCAGAGGTCATGACATTAGCTGTTACGGTGATTAGGGTGATAGAATATCACCTGTTAGAAGGGGTCCCTTGCTCTGGGACCCCTAGGCACCCTCCCTGTTCCAAATTAAATACTTGCATCCAAGTGTGGTAGACAGGGGAAAAAGTGGGGGATACCTAGAGAGCCAGGGTAAAGCAGGAGCTGTATGGCCACCCCTGGGGACCAGCACTTACTACACAAGGTCCCCCTTCAAAAGCTCTTAACAACGTTAGGTAGTCATAGGATTGTAGGGAAGGTCCACTCATGGATTGGAAATTGACTGAAGGACAGGGAGAAAAAAGTGACTAAGTGGTCAGTTTTCAGGATGGAAAGAAGTAAGCGAGGGATCTATGTTGGGGATGGTGCTGTTTAACATATTCAAAAATTATTTGGAAAAGGGGGTGAGTAGTGAGTTGGCCAAATGTCCAGATGACACAAAATTATTCAAAGTGGTAAAGACCAAGGCCGGTAATGAGGAACTAAAGAAGGACCTTGCACTACTGAGTAGGCAACTGAATAGCAGATGAAATTCAAACTTGAGAAGTGTAAAGTGGCGCACTTTGGCAAAAATAACCCAAACTATACCTACACTGCAATGGACACTATGCATGAAAGAGATCTCTGGACCATTCACTAAAGTTTATTGATCAGCAACTGTCAAAATGGTAAACAAAATGTTAGAAATTATTGAAGAGGGAATTTTGGCAACACAGAAAGTATCCTTATGCCTCTCCAAATCCATGGTGTATCCACACATTGCAAATTGTGTCTAGTTTTGTTCCCCACACCCCAAAAAGGATATAGAAGAACTAGAGAAGGGCAACAAGGACGTTTAGTGCTATTGTCAGGTTTCCATATGAAGAGAAACTAGGTATACTCTGCTTAGAAAATAGACATTTGGCAGGGGGTAGGAATGGTAAAGGCTTACACTATAATAAATGGTAAAGAGAAAGTAAACAAGTATTTATTATTTACTCTCTCAATACAAGAATTAAGGGTCATAAAATAAAACTAGTAGGTAGTAAGTTTAAAACAAACAAAAAATAATCTTTTTCACTCAGCAGGCAATTCAGGTTAAAAAACACAGGCATGTGTGTTGTTGTTTTCATTGCCATCGGATGCTGTAGAAGCTACCAATTTTCTCTAATCCTTTTTTGAGTTTGGCCAGTTCTTGAAGGAAAGGGGCATCAGTAGCTATTGAGCATGGGAGTTGGGACTACAGCCTCCCAATCAAAACTTTGTAGACCCCAAATATTGGATGCCACAAGTGGGAGACAAACTGGGAAAACCCTGGCCATACCCCTCTCACTCTCCTGATCAGCATACACATTCTGCCATTGTGTGGCATGGGATATTGGGCAATATAGACCTATTGTCTGAGCCAGTAAAATAGCAGTTCTTATGAACTCCCCTGTCCTGTTGTACCATGCCTTCAAAAATTTATCAAGTTGAATTTTAAAATGATTCAGTTTCCTTGCTTTCACTTCTTGGCTAATAAGACCATTCTGAAACTTCATGCCTCTGATCGTTCTAAGTCTTCATATGTTCATAGCCAGCATATAGGCATTTAAGCTTGTACTGCTGCTGTTTTTTCAGCCTAGAAAGCTCTGCTTCTCCTCTAATAGGCACCCCACAAATATATTTTTAAAAACGAATTGCATCCTTTTTCTGTTTCCATATTGGTAAGTTAAACAAGACAAGATCCTTTAATCTTCTTTCAGAAGAAAAGGTCTCCATTTACTTAAGTGCCATAGAAGTGATTTTTGTATCCAATTCCATTTAAGTTTATCTGGTAACCAGATCTGTGTACAGTATTCTAAGTGGGGTTTTTCCTATTCTGTGTAATGGTACTAGTACCTCTTTGTCTGAACAACAGGCATGTGTGTTTTGCTGGTTTGCCCCCACCCACTTAGCTTCTACTCCCTTTGCCAAGCTTAAAATAACAGCAGCAGCTGGGTGCTCTGTATCAGTGTTTCTGTATAGAAGCACACTTTGAGAATATGCATTTGTTATAATGTTGAACTAAAACTGTGATGTTAAGTACCCATCCCCTCAAGAACAGTCAAAGCACTCACAGAAACAAAGGGACTGAACAAAGAAAAATGTATTCAAAGTAAGAAATAACAGTACAGCTGCCTTAGCATTTAGCAGTGCAACATAGAACAGTACTAGCAAACCTGCTATTTAAATGGTTGATGAGAGTAGCAGTACATCTGTCTTTAAACAGGTGTGAAAAGCACAAGGGACAGCCATTTCCCTCATTTTGTAAGTTCACATGGTCAGGTATCCATCATCACTTGGCCATTTTTTTATGAGAAGTGATGACTGTAAACATGACCATATGTTCACATACTTGCTAGTCACCCACACCCAGAAGTCACTGGTTGCTTTTAGAATACAGACAGGTTGATTTAATATCAAGTGTACTGATATTTAATTAAACTTTTAAAAATAACATCAAAAAAGATATAAGCTGTTAAGATGTAACTATTATCTCTGAATGTTCCTGTAGCAAAACCATTGGAACTTTACTATTTCATTTAAAGTTACAGCAATTTAACTTCTTTAATTAAAATAGAATGCAGATAGTAGTTGTGTCTTAACTGCTGATGCATGCTCCCAATCAGTAGTTGTCCATCACCGTTTAATGTGATTTAAAAGTTGCATTAGTCCATAGCCTTTGTGGCCTTAGAGCACAGAAAGCCTTTGCTGCCAGCTCCCTTCCTATTGTCCCTAAAGTCTTGCATTATGTTTAGAATCATATTATGAACCTTGAATCCAACAACCTCTCACTCTTCCCTCTCCTGAATCCTTTTCGCTGTAGCCCAGGACATCTATTTCTGTTCCAATATCTCCTCTGGAAGCTCCAAAGGCAGATTGTACTTTCTGATCATTTCCTTTTGCTTCCCATCATAATGGTCCCTCATCTCTTCTTCCTTCTGGTTCTCTGTTTGAGGACAGTAGTATAACTGGTCCTTGGATGCAGATGATCCTGTTAAAGCAAAAACTATAAACTATTATTTTTGTTTAACTTTCTGTATTGCAGCAAGATATACATTGAAACTCAAGATGTCCACTCCCCTCCAGATGCAATTTTTGCAATTTTACAGCTGCATTTAAGGCTTCCTAATCAGATTGACAAAGATAAATGCTTTAATTTATAAGTAAAACAAAATAAAATTGTTTAAGGATCTTAAATATGCAAGAAGAGCATAGGCCTGAGACACCAGAACAGTACAAATTATCCTCCTGATGCTTTTTCAGACACTTTTGCCTGTCATTGTCTCTTTGTACCCCTTACCCATTCTGGAAAAAATGAAAGGTAAAAGACAGAAGTCCTTTTAAGTGGAATGAGTCAGGTTGGGAGATCATGTCCTGGTAGGGATAGATATAACAGAGAGAGAGGTGGTAGGGGGAGGCCTGGGAAAGGGCATATCCTTCAATGTAGAGAAGTGTAAGGTGCTGCACCTTGGTAGGAAGAACCCTCAACATACTTACAAGTTTGGCAGTGCTACGCTCACTAGCACCATGACTGAAAGAGACTTGGGGGTCCTGATTGACCACAACAAGAATGTGAGTCACCAATGTGATGCTGTAGCTGGCAAAGCACACCAAATTCTGGTGTGCATTTACCGATGCATCTCAAGCAAAACTCGGGATGTCATCCTCCCGCTTTACTCTGCTTTAGTGAGGTCACAGCTGGAGTACTGCATCCAGTTTTGCACTCCTCACTGAGACAGGAATGTCAAAAACCTTGAGAAAGTCCAGAGGAGAGCCACTCATATGATCCAAGGCCTGGAGGGCATGCCATTCAAGGAGAGGCTGAGGGATCTGGGACTCTTCAGTCTGGAGAAGAGAAGGCTTAGGGGGGACTTGATGGCAGCCTACAATTACATAAGAGGGGTATATAAGGTCTGGAAGAACAGCTGTTCACCAGAGCTCCCCAAGGGATAACAAGATCTAATGGCCATAAACTCCAGGAAGTCTGATTTAGACTAGACAGAAGAAAAAAGGATTTACGGTGTGTGTCCCCACGGTTTGGAAAAGACTTCCCCCC